CCCCCCGCCGCCCCTCTCGGTGACGAAGCGGACGGCCGCCCGGACCTTGCCCTCGAGCATGAGCTTGTTGAAGATGCGATAGACCGACGCGTCGTCCAGCTGAGGCTGAGTGGTGGGGAACTGCTGGTCCAGTCGCTCCGCCTCGCACACGAGCTCCTCCACCTGCCCCTTCTGCCACATCTCCAGCCGCCTCCAGAGCATCCGCTTGACATCGCGCTTCCTCTTGACATCCGGATCTCGCTGGATGAGTGTGCGGACGAAGACGCCAGCCCGCTCGGACGGTGCCTCGAGCTTGGAGATCTTCTCCACCTCATCAGCGATGGCATCGGCGATGGCGCGGCCAAGGTTGCCAAGCTTGCTGAGATCCTTCACGCACCGCGGGGCTGTCTTCCTTCATTGGTGTTTGTAGTTGGGACATTCGATCATTCATTGTACGTACGTCTTCATCTATGATGATCTCTCTCACATGGGCCTTGGGAGAGACCGACACGGAAAACGTCAAGAAAACGTTGGAATGCAATCAGTCTTTGCCTCTCAATCACTCTCCCGTCTATCAGATCGGTCTCCATCCCCTCTGATGGGAAAGGAAGCGATCCGTGGAGCTAAGCTCGCCATTTGTCTGATCCATCCCCGGCGTCCGCGTGGCCCAATCACTGCTGTCCAACGCCGCCCTTGTGTTGGCTTTCGTTCACGCCTGCACCGCCGATCTGCCTTCGTGGTATGGTATGCATCCATGCGCATGTGTTGATCTGGACCACCACCATCTAATGGTCTGACAGCGAATACAGCCTCATCAGAAACTCATGGCTCAGCTCGCGAAGGGGAGGAGAGCGAATGCGGGGCCATCTATGTGAGTTTCCTCGCATGGACGGTGCGGTATGGTTGCGTTTGTCCACTTGTCGGCGATGCTTATGAGCCTGACTGTCTATGTGGATGGCAGGCACGTGGAAAAGCCGGTTAGTCAGTCAGCAGAAATAATTGAGACACCTTCGCACATGCAGAAGATATCATGTGCGTGTTGGTGTGTGTGGGCCGGCAGGTGCCATCTGCCGCCTTCGTCCACCTCACTCGAAGCACTGCCATCCCGTTCGTCGGTCCCACCACCACCGCCACTGCCAGACGTCATCTGCTGAGGCTGCAGACGACATCGAGCCAGCCCTCTCTTCAGGCTGCCGAGTCCAATGCGGCCGATGATGCGGAAAAGGTCAGTGTATTCGTCGGGATTAAAATCAACGGGGAAAGGAAGCATAAGATCTTCTTCTACAAGCCGAGCGGCGACGATTTGGTCGCTGACCTCATTGAGCCGACGCGGAAGCACTTTCGTGTCGACACGGAGTTCGACCACTACAAGCTCACCAAGACCGACGGCTCGGCGGTGGACCTGGACGCCACTGTGAGGGACACGCTGGCAGAAGGCGTCGGCACCGGTGCCGCCCCCATCATCTTCAAATTCACCAAGCCACCTCCAACACCAGCACCAACACCACCACCAAGTGAGCCAGTGAGGCAGGGAGGCAGAGAGGCAGGTAGAGAGAGGCCTCAGGCAGTGAGTACGTCCACATGGCTGGATGCCCTGGATGGATGGAATCGCATCTTGTGTATTTTCCTTTGTGTGTCTGCGTATGTACGAAGCTCGGCGTGATCTCAGCGAGGAGGAAGATCTAAGACTGCGCATGATGAGGCTCATGCCTGGCCCCTGGGCCTTTCTCTTCTGATCTCTTCTGATGCCCCCCTGGTGACTCTCTGGTGTGAATGGCCGGCACGGAGGCTATGCGTCGCACGAACCAGTTCCACGCCAGCCGCTATCATCTTCCAGCTTATGTTTGGCGTCTTTGTCAAGATACCAATGGTCTGGTTCATCGACAAGCAGACGGACTTCATTATCCCTTTCTCACATCAGCCCGGGGGGCCTCGTTTGGATGGAGGCCATATCGGCTTTATGGGTTTCGTTCCTGCTGAATGTGATCTGTTTGCCTGGGTGATGTGGGAGGAATGGCCGAAGAAAGAAGGACCACACCAACCAAAGCGAAGAAAACTCGAGAGAGTGTATAGGGAAGAGAAGAGCTGAGCGGCAAAGAGAGAGACAGAGAGAGAGAGGGAGGGAGGGAGGGAGGGAGGGAGAGTGGGAGAGAGGTAGGGAGGGCTCGCCGACGAGAAGAGGAAGTTGTGTGTCTCTGTGTGCATGCCCCAACTGATATGGTCGCTGGGTGCTCATTTGCAGTGAGGAAGCCTTAGGGAAGATCTATTCATGTAGGTGTGGCGACCGTCATATGCATGCTCGTGCGAAGGAGGTGGATGAAGAGTGTTCTTTGAGCCAGACAGACAGGTGGGCACACAGGCAACAACACATGAAAGCCCAGTTGTTTTGGTTGGACACGCAGAACCCCGAGTGTCCCTCCCCTGTCCCTTCCCTCTCCTTCTCACATGCAAAGCAAGGGCCGGCCGTGTCATACACACGTCCAGAGAGCGACAGAAGATCCCGGGACCGGGGAAACACACAAAATAGAGCAGTATGGAGCGACAACACAGCAACACAAAAGAAAGAGGACAGCCAGCCCTGGATAGGTGGTGGGTGCATGCCTGTCTGTCTGTATGTATGTGTGTCTATGAGTCGAGTTGCGTGAGCAGGGCCACTCCCCTCTTGACCCAGTGGCCCTGCTCCTTGTCTGACGGCAGCTTGATCCACATGACGAAGTTGGTCGAGTGACCCGTCGTCGACAGCACACCACGCCGCGCGGACGTCTTGTACAGAGGACAGCTGCAAACAGAGAGAGACAGACAGACAGACAGACATTGTCACTCACTCAGCGTGTGAGCGTCCGTTTGTTCCCTGACTGATGTACTTATAGTGCGGCACTGGTTCGATCTTGGCCGCCTCCGCTGGCTTGAGCCACACGGTCGGGCACGGCACAAACAACACCTTGGGATCAGACTCACCCAATGTACTGCACGCGCGAGAGAGAGCATCATACACACATATCAGCAGTCGTCGTGTGCCTTCGGTCGTTGTTGTTGGTTACCCTTTGTCATAGTCCCACTTGGCCCCCTCGATGAACAGCCCAGCGACATAGGCCCCCGACTCGGCCGCCTCGGTCGGCGTCTCGTTGGGGATAGCAAAATCAAAATCAACCAAATCCACAGCTATCTTGTGCTTGCGGGCGAAATTCTGCACACACACACAGACAGACAGACAACACAGACAGTAAGTGTCTCAGGGGGGGTCACAGCCCAGCCTATTTACCTGTGTGACACCAGTCAAGAATGATTGGGTGAAGTAAAAGCCCGATAGCCAAAAGACTGGCGGGGCGCCGCTGTCGACCCACGATTGGAAGAACTTGAGCCGCTCGACTAGGTCGTTGACGTAGGAGCCGAGCGGCTTGAGTGAGGGGTATGATTTGGCCGCCCACATGTCGGGTATCTTGCCGTCGACAATCGACTTGAAGGCGGCCTCCAGCTGGGGCGACAGGACGGCCAGGCCCTTGATGGCCTTCTGCATGTCCTTGAGGGACGACCGGATGACGTCGATCAGCTTGTTGTAGCGCGTCAGCTCCTGGCACAAGACCGTGTTCATCGACTCCTCATAAAGGACCGGATACCTGCACACGTGAGACATACACGACAGACGCCGTGTCGCTTTGGCTGCATTTCTTCCACCTTCTTTGCACTGCAGCAACGTCCCACGATTTGGGCACTCTGTTGAGAATGTCGGCAGCCACGTCGCTCACGATCTCTTCAGGGCTCTTGCCTGCAGCAGCCGACCCCCCCGACTCGGTCATGAGCAAGGCATCCACCAAGGCATATGTCTCATTCTGCTCCTTGGTGATGTTGGCATTGGCGTGGAACCCGAATATCTCGGGCTCTGTGATAGGGGGCAGCGTCTTGATGTACTCGAGGTAGGCCTCGTGATCAGTCGCCTGAATGGGGTGGTACTCGGCTGAGCCGAAGTTGAACTCCTCCTCGAAGATGGTGGGGCTGTAGTAGTCGTTCATGAGTGTCATCAGGAGGCGCCGGTCTTTGTCGTCGGTCACACGGCCGCCATAGTTGCACTCACCGGTGAGGTAGCGGAGGGCCTTGAAGGGCGTCTCGTCCGGGTACTCGTCGAGGAACATCTGCAGCTGCCGCACTGAGATGCGCATGTCGCTCTCGTTGAACTCGTATGAGATGTTCCATCCCAGAGGACCGAAGTTCCTACGCTCCTGTGCACATGACATGTATGGGATCAGTGAGTGCATGTGTCGTGGGGGAATCATGATCAGCGTACCTGAATGACAGCGTGGAAGAAACAGAGGGAGAATAGCAGCCTCTTGAACTCAGGATCCTTCGTGCAAGCCTGGTGAGGAGACACAGCACAGCACAGCACAGCACAGCACAGCATGGCACAGGGGCATGACAGGCAGGCTTTGCGTGCTAGTGGGGGGGGCTTGCATTGAAGAAGTCTGGGTCTGAGATGGGGTCAGTGAGGTAGCTGCCGGTCAGGTTGGCGCGCAGTCCCTTGGGCGGCTCGTTGGTCATCTTGACGCCGTTCTGCAGAATCGCCACGGGGAACTTATCACTCGGATAACTCGTCAGCCATAATCTAAGAGACACGCACAGCAATGATTCGAACCTCACTCCCGTCTAGTGTGGCTGATTGCCGCGGGCCTACCTGAACTCCCTGTGGATTTTGTCAGGGTTCATCTGCTCGCAAATCCTCTCGAGTGTGGGCATCCAGCTGACAGCCAGGTGGCAGTTCTGCAGCACCACCCACCCGCCTGACTGAGTGGCCTGGTCGATCAGCGCTCTCGCGCGCGGACCCTGACCCTGGCCTGCATTGCAGGCAGCAGAAGGACCATGTGCCAGTATGTGGATTCTCTCGATCGATTATCTGCTGCCTCACTCACCGAGGGACACTTGTGCGACCTCCTTCTCTCGCGATTCCGCAAACTTGGCGACAGCGGCGAATGGGTCGCTGCCTGGCGAGAGGATGAATATGAGGGGCGACGTGTTGGATGAGTCCGCGTAGGAGCCCGGGAGATCAAAAGGCGGCGGAGTGACGAATTCCTCGCTCATGTTGTCCCCGACGAACTCCATGATGGCTGGGATGAGTTTGTCGGGCCGGATGCACCGCACCACCAGCAGCTTCTGGAAGCCATCGAGCAGGGCGCACGAGTCGGGGAAGGCCTCGCCGTAAGGTGCGTGTGAGTCGTACAGCCGCCGCCAGTTGCCCTCCTCGAGACTGAAGTTGGACGCAACGCCAGAGAATCCGCTCATCGCCTCTGACAAAACACACACGCAACGCGTCCAATCTCACTTCTCCATGCCAACCAGACAGTAAGTACCGAGCCGATTGAGCTCTGTCCAGGCGCGATCGGGCAGCCAGTCGGCTGGTTTGGTCGGCACGTCCTCCAACCCGACCCCGCCGGTGAGAAGGAAGCGGTACTCGACGGGTCCCATTTTCTCCTCCGACTGCAGGATCCTCGCACACAGCAGGAAGGAGAACAGCAGCTTGTGCTTCTCGAACAACGACCGGCAGATGTTCCTGCACACAAAGGAAGGCAACAGAGACATCATAATGGCGTCAATCAACCAACCAGAGATCACGATATGATGAAGGACCTGTAGAGTGTGAGTGTGAAGAATTCGTTGAGGTGTCTCAGCCTCGTCTCGTGGTCCTCCGACTGGGGGGCCTTGGCAATGCACGCTATGAAGAGGTTGACGAAGAACGGCAGGCTATACTGATACATGGGGTCGATCGCAGCCAGGTCAGCGATGCAGAAGAACAGCGTCGACGCTCTGAAGGCCACAGGGACATACCCTAGGCGGGCCTCATCGATGCGCTCTTCGGTCTCCTCGGCGATCTTCTGCTTCTCGGCAATCTCGTTGGACAGCTGCTTGGCGGCAGACAGCACCTGGATGGCTGTCTCGTCGTCGAGGATGTTGCCCTGAGATGCCGACAGGACGTGCAGGATCTTGTCCTCGATCTCCTTGAGCTGCTTCTTGTTCTCCGCGCCCTCCACAATCAGACGCGCCTTTTCTTCCTCGAGGTCAGGCTTCTCTTTAGCCACCACGATGCCCAGCAGCTGGTCCTGCAGGCCGGCTTGTGTGATCATGAAGTTGAGGAGCGTCACCTTGACGGCCACCTCAGGCAGGTAGTGGGGATTCCGCAGCTTGGTGGTCAGGTAAAAGCGGAAGTTCTCCGAGTACTCGATGGTGGCGTCACCGAGCTTAATCATGAGAGTGCCAGCCTTCTTGAACGTCTGCTTGAGCAGCACTGGCTCCAACGCGGGATCGAGCTCCTCACTGCAACACACACATACGATGGATGACGCAGCTTGTTCTACACATGGAGACATGTACACATACGCGATGTTTTCGATGAGCACAGGGGTTCCGAACTGGATGCTGCCCTCCAGTCGGCGGAGATAGTCGCTGTCCGATAGCTTGGCGACCACGAGCTTGTTGGGTTGCTCCATTTTCTTGATCCACTTGTTGGCCTGCCCCTGCAAAAGCAACCAGCATTCATCATTCTTCAGTCTTTTCTCTCACATATAAAATGCTGTCTCCTCCACTGTCTTGCCTGTGGGTCGATGCAGAGGGGCCATCTTCTGGACTTGTCCATGATGATTCCGTTCTCAATCGAGAAATTGTCGTTGGGTAGCCCGCGCATCGTCCACGCGCGGATCTTGACCGGCTCGCCGAGGCAGTTGGTGAGGCTGAAGGTGGCCGTGCCGGGGATGTCGAGGTCTTTGCACGTCTTCACCCACTCAGCGATGCCGTCGTTGCGGAAGCCTGGAGTGAAGGCGCCCAGGTATGCAATGATGCCTGAGGCTATCATGATGTCGCCCGTCAGGTTGGTGTATGCGATCGTCAGACTCTCCGCCTTTTCCGTCCACCGCGCCTTCTCGCCGCCCAGAGACTCGATCAGCTGCTCAGCTCGAATGAGCTTCGCCTTGCAATCCTCCACCTGCATACAGAGGCACAATAGACACCCGTCTGTCGTGTATGGTATAATATGTTGTACGCTTACTTGTGCCTCGAGGGTGTTCTTCTCGTCTTCCTTGTTCTTGAGTTCCGCGTTGAGGCCCGCGAGTTTGTCCTCGACCTCCTTGAGCTGTGCGCGCTTGATGTTGAGCCCCTCCATGACCTTGCTGTACTCCGCCTCGGCGATCTTGAGTGCCTCCTTCTTGGGCGCCACCACCTTGGCCACTCGATCGTAGGTCTCCATGGCCCGCACCCAGCAGCAGAGGCCGTACGCCGCCTTGGAGACCTTCTTGACCTTCTCGGGCTCAAAGTCCTCCTCCTGCACGTACTTGGCGATCTTCTTGATCACATCGGCCGGGATATTGTCCTTGTCGTAGTCCATGAGCGACTTGAGGAAGCCTGTGTCGGCCACCATCTTCTGCGAAGGGCCCCAGAAGTCGTTGATCATGGCCGAGCCACCTGCGGGGTCCTTGATGCGCTGTGGCTTGACGCCCTTGAGCACACACACCGCCTCCAACACAATCTTGACTGGGCCGGGCGGAGACTGACATTCGGAGCGAAAGAGAATGATCATTGACTTGGACCGACAGGTAGACAAGAAGAGCTTTGTACCTTCATGGCTTTGATTTCTGCAATGTCTCCTGATGTGAGGGTGTTGAGGGCCTTGATGGCAGACTCAAGGGCTGGCATCGCCACAGCGAGCTCTTGCTCGCACTCCTGCAGACAGCAAACGAGGGACCCATCACCAAAGCGACAGCTGTATTGCATATCTGCGGCTGACTGACCGTTTTGATGGAGTTTGCCTTCTCTGCTGCCTCTGAGGCGATGGCCTCCTCACCGGCCACCACTTCCTTGATCTCTGCTGTCTTGTCCGTCTCGGCAGCCACGACCTTCATCATCTCAGCTGTCTCTTGGCCCTGCTCGATGCACATATACGACAAACAAGACGGTCTCTCCTCCCATTTATGTCGCTTCATGAATGGCTCTCTGTCTATCTACCTACCTTTGTTTCGAGGATGGGCTGCAGGTCAGTGAGCTCTCTCTGCATGCCCTCCACACTGTTCTCGGTCGTCTTGAGCTTGTCCAACCCCACTTCGTAGCGCGACTTCATCGCCGAGACTTGCTCCCGCTGCTCAGCCAATAGCGTCTTGAAGGTGGTGATCAGCTCGAGGTAAGATGTGGGCGTGACATAATAGTAGCGCTTGAGCTCCGCGAGGAACCGGTCGGCCATGCCGCGGGCGCCCGAGTGAAGGACCTGGCACATACTCACGCAGCCCTTACGCACATCCTCCTCCATGTCGACAGAACTGCAGACAGAGACGCCGACACATGCAAGGCGGTTTGTATGCCTGTTCCTCCATACCTGAGGAATCGCTCAGCGACGGAGGAGAGGGCGTCATCGGGCCACTTGGAGAACCAGTTGATGGTGCAGCAGTTGACCAGTGAGGGGAACTGCCGCACGCGAGTACGGAATGCGTCCCCGATGGGCGAGAAGCACAAGACGACATGCAGCAGCCGCTTGCACCGGTCGACAAAGAAGTTGTACAGCTGCTGGGGCGTCCCCTCCGGGGCCTTGCCCTCCTGACGCGCCGCCGCTCGCACCATCTCGCATATCTGAGACTTCTCGTCAGGCGCATACAGGTTGGGCACCTCCCCTATCCACCAACCAGCACACACACACCAATTAATGTATGTATTGCACTGGCAGCGCCACTTGGTGCGGTGCGCACCCGTGTTGAGGAGATTGTTGATATCCTCTACGAATGACTCCTGCTTGATCTGTGTATCGGAGAAGAGGAAGACTGTCGTCTCGCCCTTGCCGCCCGCACGGCGCAACACCTGTCCGAAACGACAGACCAGACTCATTCATGCGTCGCTTTGTACGCTTCTCTGTTTGTTTACCTCTTTGAGGTCCTCCCGCCATTCGTTCTTGCCGTAGTTCTTCGATATCTCAATCTGGAACACCTCGGCGTCGCACATGAAGCACGCCAGGCGCGTCAGGCTCTGTCGGCCGGAACCGCCAACTCCCACGAGAAGGGCATTGCCGCCGGGGATCTTGAGGATTCGTGAGATGCGGCTAAGGTGCTCAATGGCGAAGGAGAAGAGGACCAGGTTCATGCGCTTGGAGCTCTGCACGATGTTGAGCTGCTCGAGGTAGCCCTCAACCTTCGTCTGGAGCTCGTCGAAATCCTGTTATTAGAAAACAGCGAGACATGTGATGTTATGTCCCGTGGGGATAAGAGCCAGCTAAGAGCCAGCTTCTGTTCTCTGATACCTTGACTTCGTCGTATGGTCGTTTCGGCGACGATGGCGGGTTCATGTAGTCGCCGAAGAACAGCTTGCGGATCTCGTCGAGCGTGTCGACCTTGCCATCTTTGTTCGAGTCGAGGTGGGCCATGACGGTGTCGAACGACTGACCGAAACACTTCTTGCTGATGTCTCGGATGTTCTTGAGCAGCCACGTCTGGTCGGTCTCGTCCACGAGGCGGTCCCCGAACACTCTGAGCACCTCGTGGATCCACAGACGCACCACCTTCTCCACACCCTCTTGCTGCTCCTTGCCCATCAGCAACACTCCCTGCACAAAGGAGAAGGATGACATGAATCAGTCTTTCGCACACAAAATCTGTTCTCTGTGCACACAGGCGCACCAGGATGACTTTGGAGAAGTCCCGAAGGTTGAAAGTGTAGTGCGACTTGACGGGCGTTGGCAGCAGTTCGGTGCAGGCCAGCTTGTACACGTCCATGGTGGCCGCCACGATCTTCTTGCTAATGCCCGCCACATCCGGTGGGTACGAATCTGTCGTGAACTTCCAGTCCAGGATGGCTGTAAAGATCTTGATCAGGTTTTCGTCCTCCACTTCGATGAAGCCCAGCAGATGGAAGTGCCTCAGCAGCCGGGGCGAGATGAATGTCCGGCCGCCGCCGGGAGGTCCCATGGCGGCGAAAAGCATGCAGTCGATGATGTGTCGAAATGGGTGCGTGAGGTCCTTTCTGTCATACCACCCGCCGTGGTCGCAGTACTGCCGGAGGATCTCGATCGGCGGCTGGGCGCCCCACTTCTCCTTGGCCGGCATATTCAGGTCATCCACAAACAAGATGCACCGCTTGTTGAGTGGCGGGCCGAAAGTGTCTCGCCGCCTCTTCTCGAGCTTGGCGTCGATGAGATCCTGTGTCTGGTTCTCGGATGTCTGGGCGCTGAACCCCAATGGGATGTACGTGTTCTTCTCCCTCTGCAGCGAATCCAACACCTGACACACGAACAAACACCTTCAGCCACAGTGTCGATAAATAGTCTTTGTCCGCAATCCCACCTTAAGTGCGTACGCGGTCTTGCCGGTGCCCGTCGGTCCGCAGAAGAGGGTGAAGACGCCCGCCTCGATGTTCATGTTGGCCAGATAGGAGTACCTGACCATGTCGACCGTCTGAACGATGATCTCTGCTGGCTGGGTGCCCGGCGGGAACGACTGCGCGCTCTCAACTGTGTCCTGACAGACACCCAACGAGACACGTGAACGATGCAGACAGCCGTGTGTGGCCATGTCTGTGCTTGTGTCTCACCATCCACTGGGCCCATGTGTTCGTCTCCGCCCGGTAGACAAAATCGAAACAGCTGCCACGCTCGGGGAGGGCGGGTGTGATCTTCTTGAGCTGCTTGATCCCCTCAAAGCTGCCGGCGAGCAGCTTCTTCAGGGCGATATCAAAACTCTTTCTCGTTGCCGTGTTGGTGGCCGCGCCAATCGACCAGATTATCGCAAAGACGCAGCTGGCATCCAGGAAGCTGCTGAGTTGCTTGTCGCCGAGGCCTGCCTTGTAGTCCACATCACACAGGGGCTTCAGCAAGCTGGTCA